AAGAAGCTCCGGATTGATTATAGGTGGTAGTTTAATCAGTCATTAGCAGTAGTAACAAAACAGGGCCAATCATCAGTCTGGGATGGCAGGCAAACAGTCCAGCAGATCTCCATGAAGGAACCTTAAAATGCCCGTGGTAATTATAGAAAACAAAGGAAGGATGAGTTAGAGAGAGCATCACTTCTGATAGGTGGATATTTTTGGTTTTCTGCTTAGCAATGGGCTTGGGCATTAAACCAATGTTATGCCCAAATATAAGTTTGTGTGTTGATCATGTACCAGGCACATATGGGTCATGATATTCTCATTATGGCTGTCCTCGGTCATAGTATTTTAAGTTATGACTCTTAAGTTTTGATTTTTTAACAGGTCACCATGTTGGGGCTTTCACCTTTCACAGAGTTCAAGTTTTTATGGCTTTTCCCCAATTGGGACCCCACACCTCAACCTGAAAAGCCTCCCCTACACTCTTTCTGAATGTATTCCACAAGGTCCCTGGGGTGGCTCTATACTAGGGTGTTTAGGGCCTTTTTGAGTACAGTTGGGATGGTCCCATGTGTAAGCATAAACCACAGGAGCAATATAAGCACAGATAGGAAAACAACATGACCAATGAGAAAATATGGGAGTCGCCCATAACCCTCAGGTGTCCACTCTCTATCCCGGCAGCTGTCTGATCAAGACGCCTTCTTCTCAGCCTCTCCAGGGGCTCCTGGTTAGATGCCTTGGCCCCCTGAGGGTCTCTGGGTCCCCTAGGTGATGCTCCTCATGGGTGGGGCAGCATCCTGGAACCTGGGAGGTTCCCCAACCTTCTGCCTCAACTGTCCTTCTTCATTGGAGGGGGGAGTAGCCCAAAAGTGATTGCCTCTAGTTTCCTCCAACCCAAGCAGGGTCAGTGGCAGACATGCTTGCATGCATGGGTGCCCCCCTGTTCCTCCCAGCTCCTCTCCCAATTTTGTTTCCTCATCCCTGAAAGAAGTAGGCTGAGACCCTCCTCTGCCCCAGACCAGCCCTTTCTTCCTCTGCTCTAGGGGTTGTCAGGAATCCAAGTCCCATTCAGTAGCTGGTGGTCTGCTACTGTGCTGTTCCTTTAAGTGGAGCCCAGGACACAGCACCCCCACCACTGCCAACCTTGCCCTCCCCCTGCAAGCTGAGGTCAGCTGCCCAACCCCATCCCACCCAGCACCCAGCAGCTGCTCTCAGAAACCTGGGACCTGGTTCAGCCCTGGGCCCTCCAAGCACTGTGGACCCTTGCCCTCCCCAGGCTGGGTGATGGGAGTTGAGAGAAATGATTGGGGGGGGGGTTCCTCACTCCTTTGTGCATGACATCACAGAGCCCCCTCTCCTTTTTTCTCCCTCCTCCCTCTGCTCTGGGTAGAGAAGCCCTGCCCCTAGTGTGACATCACTGTAACCGCCAGCCTCCCCCCCCCCCCCCCCCCGCCCCTGACCAAGTTACTCCTTTTTGTCTCTGGAGGAGGAGGAGGATGAGAAGGATGATGAAGGGATAGAGGAGGAGGAAGAGGAAGAAGAGGTGGAGAGGGAGGAGAAGGAGTGAGTTCCCTTTTCCCCTCAGTCTGGAGGGGGGGTGGCAGCTGCAGATCTGCCCCGCCTTAATGTCTTCCCCTCCCCCTCACTTGATACCACTCCCCCTCCATCTCTTCGGGATGGTAGAAGTTCCTATGCTTTCTTACATGGGTGTGTATGAGGTAAGCCGCGTTCACCCCAATTCTGCCACAGCCCCTCCTGCTGCCCTTCCTGTCCCTCTGCATCCCCACCTTGTATTTTCTTCTCTTTCCTCTTCATTCTTCTCCTGATCCTCCCCCCATCCCAAATTGGCTTTTCTTGGTGACTAGGAGGGTGTGTGTAGCCATGGAGGGATGGGTCGTGGGAGTATTAATACCTTGGTTTATGCATGTGTTGTGTCTGTAGGAAGGTAGGATCATGTGTGTACGTATGTGTGCACGTGTGTACCTGTGTGTGCCCAATCCTCCAGAGATGCTTCTACCTGCGGCTTCCTACCTGCCTAGGCCTTTGTCTGGAGGTCTTGGGCTTGAGGGGCCATGGGATGAGGTGCTGTGGAAGTCAGCAGGGAGAAGCCTTTGAGGACACTCCCTCCCTGCCCTCCTCACGTGGACTTTCCCAACCTTCCTTCCTTCCTCCCAACCTTGGCTTGGCCTTGGGGCCTTGCCTTCCTCATCCTCAGAGAGAGGAGGGTGAATCTTTCCCAGGGATGGCTGGATAAATCTTTCCTGGGAGAGGTGACTTGGTCCTACACACAGTCAAATCCTTGATTTACACTTTTGATTGAGCAGTACAATTCTCACTGTCATTCTGTAGGGCACAGATTTTCTCTTCCACCCTTTCCCCATTCTTTTTAATTCCATTTAAGGTTTCCTTTAAGGAATTCAAGCTACAAGTTCTGTCTCGTGGTTTTGAGTAACCATTTAGTAAAAGCATCCCACTCGAGATATTTAATTTTCTGGCCAACTTCATCAAAATGTTCTCAAGGTAGTTTATTCTATCCCAATCAGAAGAACCTCAGGTTGGCTAATGGTGACAGGGTTGTCTTGGGTCCATTTCTGTCAATCAGTTAAATACCTGCAAGTTTTGGCCCATAATATGGAGACATACAACGTGCTGGTCTCTGCTTGTGTGTGTGTGGGGAGATGACTTTAGCTTCTTAGGAAGTTTGGTTACCCATGGGAACTTGGCTAATATTACATTATACTAGACATTTTTTTCAGCAATTAATGTGGACTACCGGTATTAAAAACTGGGGCTTTTGAAAATCAGTTCTTGAGTAAACTATACAACCTCGGATGTGTCAGTCCTAAGCTGCAGGTTTTCACTGGTCCCTGCTGTCAGGGTTATTACCTGCCCTCCAGTAGGGTGCTAGTGTTGTATCGAGAAATCAGCGAGCGAGACCCAGCCATAATTTAAAATGTGGATTTATTAGCACGCAGCTGCAAGGGGTATGCCCATCCAAATCAAGCAGCCCTGATCAGGGGTCGAGCTAGGGTTTATATGGAAAACAGCATGGGAAAGAAATGCCAGGAACACGGATGAGGTAATCCAAAGGTGCAGGTGTCTTTGGGGGCTATGGATGGGAAAGTACAGGGAATATACCGGACAGGGAGGGGGATGGATCTTTGGAGTCTGGCAGGAGGAAGAGTCCTTGGGCTGGCCGAGGACACCCCTCTCCCTCTGTCTTGATGAGAGAATGCTCTGCAACAAGGGAAAGCTTTCTCACAACACAGCAACTTACTAAGGAATTGGGAGGCTTCCAGAGACATGATCTGAGGGCTGGGGCCTGAGCAGCCCAGTTCTGTGTAGCTGTACCAGGGAGAGAGATAAGGGTCGTGCTGAGGCCCATGCATGAATAACTGCTAGGCACAGTGTCCTTGGACTGGGGAGTGGTTGTCAGAGACAGTGTTTCTAAGATTAGGGAGAAATTGGGGCACAAGTACAAGCACAAGCACAGGAGCACCCCATCATTACGGGTCAGGGATCACACAAACCAGACCAGGTGTCCTGGTCTCTGGTATAAACATAATTATCTAAAGCAATTATATTGCAAGCTTTCTTATCCATTTGCATTGGAGGTACAGGGTATGCTGAGCTATGCAAGAGTACATTTCACTGTTGTTTGGATTTAGGAGGAAAGAGGTCTGGGGCAAGATGAAGTACCAGCTTTTGCTTTCCATGGCTTAAAGGGCCCTTCTACCTAAATGGCAAAATAATGTTCTGCATTACACTAGTAGCTCTGTGGTGCCCACGCCTGGGTCTCCCCTTGTGGCCACAAACCTCTGAAACAGGCTAGAACTCTTCCTCTCCCCTTCTCTATATCATCTCTTTTTTTTTGGTGTCCTTTACTTTAATGGCATATTTATGTTTTGTTCTGGTTTCAACCAGCACCTGGTAAAAGGGGCATTTCCATGTACCTTGTTGTGGAACAGAAACAGGAGACTGTCCCTGAACCCTCAAGATCTCTATGATTTGCAGACTGAAAAAGAGACACTTTTTAACATGCACTTCTCTCATTATGAGGGATTTGGAACATTTTGCCATAAGGCTATTGTTAGCTTGGATTTTTTCCTTTGAAAACCTCCTGTCCCTTTGACCTATTGGAGAATGGCTCTTAATCTTAGAAACTGAAATCAGTTCATTCTATATCTTGCATAGGCAACAATCCATAGAGAACTTTACTGCAAAGATATTTTCCCTCATTTAACTGTTACCCTCCTTATTTTGACAGCATTTGATCTGTTTGTGCAAAAATATTTCAACTTTATAGAAGCAGAATCACCCATTTTATTTTCAGTGATTCTCTCTGTTACTTGTTCTGTCATAATCTCTTCCCCTATCCATAGATATGAAAAGTAATTTCCTCCTTATTCCTCTAATTTGCTGTTGAATTTATTAAACACTAAGTTACATTATTTGTTTGCCTCTGTACATTGCATAACTAATCTTTTCCATTGATCAACCTCTCACATTTTAACATGTTCCAATTTTTTTCCAGGGAGCTAAGTGTCCCAGTGTGCCTGAAGTCAGGAAGAATCAGCTCCTTGAGTTCAAACCTGGCCTCAGAAACTTACCAGCTGTGTGACCCTGGGCAAGTCACTTCACCCTGTTTCCTTCAGTTCCTCATCTGTCAAATGAGCTTCAGAAGGAAATGGCAAACCACTCCAGTATCTCTGTGAAGAAAAGCCCAAATGGGGTCAGGAAAAGTCAGACAGGACCAAACAAGAATAATTGTTTTCACAATCATGGATTTGTAGTATACTTTGGAACTGCTAGTGATAATTACTAACTCAAACCCCTTTCTTTCCTCCTTCCCCACCTCCAAAATTACTCTTGAAGTGCTTGACATCTTTTTAGACTTCTTTATTAATGTTTACTGTTTCTTACATCACCAAGGTATCCCAGGAATCCCTCCCTCTCCCCATCTTCAAGAACTATGTCGTGTGACATACAGTAATTGTTTTTATTTGTTTCAGGGAGGAAAATTGAGCACAGTGGATCAATGCATTTGGGAAATGGTGTGCAATGTGTAACACCTGTGGACCTCTTATGTCCTGGATGGGGTAGGTTGCTGGCATCTTCTCACATCTCCTTTTCAATCCCACTTGAACTTTAGCATTTTGTCACAGATAACAACTTCTAAATTTTTGTGTCTCATTCTTTCCATTTCAGTTGTTGTAGTTACCGTGTATATATTGTGTTTTCTTGGCTCTGCTTAATTCACTTTGCATCACTTCACAAAGATCTTTCCATACTTACTGTACTCATAACACACATCATTTCTTATAGCCTGGTGTAGTATTCCAGGTAATTCATGTTCCACACCTTGTTTAGCAGTTCCCCAGGTGATAAGCATCTACTTTGCTTCCAATTCATAGCTGTTACAAAGAGGGCTGTTATGAGAATTTTTGCATATATGGGGACTTTTTTTTTTCTTATTGATGACTTCCTTGGGCTGTAATGGAGTCCTTATTTTATAGGCTTTGTGGATGTTTTTGTTACTTTTTTACCAAATTTCTTTCCAAAATGGATGTGTCATTTCACAGCTCCACCAATAAGATATTAGTTTGTGTATACCCCTATCCCCTTGTTCAGGTATCAAAAACATATTTGTTCCATAAAAGAATTTGATAGGACTCCTTCTATACCTGCTCTTTTAAATAGTTTATATAGTATTGAGATGAAAAGTTTTTAAATGTTTAGTACAATTTACTTACAAATCCATCTTGTCTTGGGGATTTTTTCCTAGGGAGCTCACTTATACCTCACTCAATTTCTTCTTCTAAGGCGGCGTTATTTAAGAATTCTATTTCATCTTTTGTTAAGATGAGCAGTTCATATTTTTGTGAGTATTCTTCCATTTTGCATAAATTATAACTTTTGCCAGTATATGACTGGGCAAAATAACTCCTAAGCATTGCTTTAATTTTGTCTTCATTCGTTATGTATCCACCTTATAGAAGATAGATTTCAATGCCTGGAACTCTCAGAATCAACCACCCAGCCCTTTGAACCTTTTGCCTGCCAAATTGGTGGGGGGGGGGGAGAGCATTTTCCTGCTTCCCAGTTCCCCTCCCAGAAGATGGCCTTCTTAAAGTAGCTACCCTCTTAGACAGGTCCTAGTATAGAAAGGCCGTCTCCTATTTTTGCAAAAATGAACAAAAACAGATACTTTCCAATTATGCTAACAAAAATCTACATCATGAAGAAGCACAGACATCAACACTTCCTCATTAAAAAGGAGGGAGAGGATTGAGGAATGTTCTCAAAGTCCATATCAAACAAAATTAAAACTGACTGGAATACTTGAGGAACACAGAGATGTAACACTTCATTTAGCAATAATAAAAGTAAGTTAAAAAATAAATAGATATTCACCCCTGAATGTGTCCAGTGTATCTGAAAGTGGTCAGTCTCTGGGAATGAAGTCCAGATGCCCTCAGCAGGTGACATTCCACAGGATTTCAACCACTAAGGTGTGTACAGGGAACCAGGAAAACTTGCTCATCACGTGGCTTTGTTTGTAGGAAAGGAAGGGATTTCTGATGTGAAGCCCACATCAGGTCATCATAGGAGAAATTACATATCGTGCTTAAACAGGCCAGATTTAACAATCAGCACAGACCAGGGAAGGAAATGGTAGAAGCTTCACTGCAGGCTGTAAAACATTAGTACCTAATCAATACTTAGCAAGACGTGAACTGGTGGATAGAATTATCCCTCAGAAGCTCAATAGCTTTCCAAGGAGAACAGATAAAATGTTGATGTTGCAAATGGAGATCTCAGGATATCCTTGGGAATTCAGAAATAAATTGAACTGGAATTGGAATATTGTCATGGAACAAAACTATCAGACCCATCTCCTAGTGATGCCATTGATCCATAAAAAAATCAAGTACGATGTTTTTAATAGCATAGCAAATGTTCCTAATCTCTAAGCTGCATGGATGAAAAGCTTGCAACATACAGAGACCTAGGGGAAGAACTGAAAACCATGGGGGAACAGCTTGAAGAACATGTGATCCCCACAGTCCTTTCTCCTCCTTGAATTGTCCTAAAGATTATTCCTGGAGCCTGCAGCAGAGGAGTTAACATCCCAGTACTTTTATTGAGTTACAAAAGAGAACAATTCTATGCAATGATCTGAGGAATACTACACAGAAAAGAATCGGTAGTAGGGTATGTAAACTGCAACAAAAAGACTAACAGATGAATCATAATGATAATAAGTAAGACTTGTATAGTGCTTCATGGTTTGAAAAGCCATTTGCAAAACATCTCCTTTGAACCTTAGAACTACCCAGTAACTTACTTAGCCTAGGTATTATTATCACCCCCATTTCACAGATATGAAAGTTGAGGTTTAGAGAGTTTAAGTGGCTAGCCTATGGCCACACAATGAGTAAGGCAGACCTTCAGTCTAGGTCTTGTGCCTCCAATTCCAGGTGTCTCTCCACTGTGCCAATTCACTAGTGGGAGGGCGGCTGGTGTTGGAGAGAATAAAACCTCGAATCTGAAAGAGTTTTAGAAAGAAATGTATTAAGTTCCTCGGTAGAGGAGGCTGAGCCACAAAGGAGGGTGTGGCTCCCTTCCAGGCTTCCAGGCTCTGGAAGGTTTAGACCAGAGTACCCTCACATGAACAACGGGGGCAGACACGCTGTCCCCCTTGGTGTCTCCCTGTTCCTTCCCGACCAACCTGATCTTTGTCTCCTCCTGCCTGGAGAAAGGAGGCTGAGCCTCACCCCTTCCTTAAACCTCCCCCCCCCCACTTTCTTTTTCTGCTCTAGGGGTTGTGAGGAATCCAAGTCCCATCCACTACTGGTTTGCAGATGCTGCTGCAGCTACTATATTCTTCACTTTTGTGGAGCCAGGACATCCCTCTCTCGACCTCCTCCATCCCCTCTCTGTCCTTCCCCTCCCACTTTCTGTGAAGGGGCCGAACCTCAAGAACTTCTAGCTGAACTCAGCTGCTGCCCCCCACCCCCAGCCCCCGAAGCCTACCCTCAGTAACCTGGGACCCTGGTCAGCCCCAGGCCCACCTCCAGGTGGAGGATGCTCCTGCGGTCCCCTCCCCTAGCCAGTTTGGGTGATGAGGGCAGAGAGAAATAACTGGTGGGGGGGGGGGCTCCCTAGTGCTCTGACCCTGATGTCAGAGAACCTCTCTCCCTCCTCCCATCCCGCTCTGCTCTGTAGGAGACTAGCTCCGCCCTACAGTGACGTCACTGTGCCCACCCTCTCTCACCATCTATTACTTGGAAGTCTTTGTCTGCGGAGGAGAATGTGAGTGGGGTGAGCAGCTGCATGCCCGAGTGCCCCCCCTTTCCTTCCCCTCCACACCCCTCCCCTCCGTTACCCCCATCTTCCAGACTGACCGATCCGGAGGGTCCTGCTTGCCTCAGTGTCTGTGAGTGAGGTGAGTGTCCCCTCCCTGCCCCTGCCTCAGTCCCCTTCTTTCTTCTCCTTCTCTTCTCCTAACTACTCCACAAACTTTTCATGAAGCCGAGGACCCCCGCTCCCGAATTTGCTTCTCTTAATGGTCAGGAAGTTGTGTGTAAGGTTGGGTGGAAGGTCCTGGGAGTATGGATACCTTTGTTTATGCCTGTGTTGTGTCTGTAGATAGGATCATCTGAGTGTCGGGGGAGGATGAATGTGTGGGTGTGTGTACTTGTGTATGTATGGGTGTGTGTGTACTCCTGTGTGCCTGCTCTTCCAGGGCTGCTTCTGCCTGGGGCTTCTTGCCTGCGCAGGCCTTTCTCTGGAGGTCTGGGGCTTGGGTAGCCGTGGGGTGGAGGCCAGCAGGGAAAAGCCTTTGGAGACACTCCCTTCCTCCCCTCCTCCCCTCCTCAGGTGGACGTTTCCATCTTTTCTTCCTCCCTTCCTCTCATCCTTGGCTTGGCCTTGACGCTGGGGAGAGAGGACACAGTCTAGGAACTCTTCCCCTCCCCTTCTCTTCGTCACCTCTTTTGTTTGGAGTCCTTTACTTTAATGGTATATTGATTTTTTGTTCTGGTTTCCACCACGGCCTGGTGAATGGGGCGTTTCCACGTACCTTGCTGTGAAACAGAAAGAGGGGACTGTTCCTGAACCTGCGGATCTCTGTGATTTACAGCCTGAAAGAAGAGAGTTGTTTTAATGTGCACTTCTCTCATTATAAGGGATTTGGGGCATTTTGTCTCCAGTTTGTAGAGGACACTGAGCCAGAAAAGAGGATGTGGCTCCCTCTTGTCCAGGCTCTGGAAGGTTTGTATTACATAGGATTTAGACTAGGGTACCCACACATGCACAGCCGGGGCAGACACCCTGCCCACCTTGGTGCCCCACTCTCCCTCACCCCCTCCCCCGCCCAGATCTTTGTCTCCTCTTGGCGGGAGAAAGAAGGCTGAGCCCCGCCCCTTTCTTACACCTCCCCCCCCCACTCTCTTTCTCTGCTCTGGGGGTTGTGCGGAATCCATGTTCCTTTCACTACTACTTTGCAGATGCTGCTGCAGCTACAGTGCTCCTCCCCTTTGCGGAGCCCAGGGCGCCCCTCCCTCCACCTCCCCGGTCCCCTCTTTGTCCTCTCCCTCCCAGCTTGCATAAAGAGGCCGACAACCCCAAGCTGAGCTCAGCTGCTGCACCCCACCCCAGCCCCAGCAGCCTGCCCGCGGGAACCTGGGACCCTGGTCAGTGCTCCGCGCCACCTCCACGTGGAAGATGCACCTGTGGCCACCTTCCCTATTCTGTTTGGGTCATGGAGGTAGAGAGAAATGACTGGGAGGGCTCCCCACCGCTCTTAGCCTGATATCAGAAACCCCCTCCTCCCTTCCTTCTTTGCTCAGGAGGAGACTAGCCCCGCCCTGCAGTGACGTCACCGTGTGCTGGCCTGGAGGCGGGGGGCGGGGCTCTCCTCCCTTCTATTAACAGTGAGTTTCTTTGTCTCTGGAGGATGTGAGTAGGATGGGCAGCTAGAGGTCTGCTTGCCCCTCATCCACTTCCCTTCCCTTTCCCCTGCACGCCCCTCCCCTCAGTTATCCCCATCTTCCCTCCTTCTTCCAGACTGACGGATCCTGAGGGTCCTACTAATGCCTAAGTGTCTCTGAGTGAGGTGAGTGCCCCTCCCCTGCTCCTGCCTCAGGCTCTCCCTTTCTTTTCTTCCCTTCTCTCCCCCTCCAACCTTTTCATGAATTGGACCCTTGACTTAGTGCTCCGGAGGTTGCGTGTGAGGGTGGGTGGAAGATCCTGGGAGTATCAATACTTTTGTTTATGCCTGTGTTTTATATGTAGGTAGTATAATCTGTGTGTGTCTGTGTGGGTGTGTAAGACAGAGGCTGGGGGGGGGCGTGTATTTGTGTGGGTGGGTGCTCCTGTGCCTGCTCCCCCAGGGCTGCTTCTGCCTGGGGCTTCCTGTGTGCCCAGGCCTTTGACTGGAGGTATGGAGCTTGGGGGGTGGGGAGATGCAATGGGGTTAGGTGGGAGAAGCCTTTGGAGACACTCCCTCCCTCCCCTTCTCAGGTGGATGTTTCCATCCTTTCTTCCTCCCTTCCTCCCGTCCTTGGCTTGGCCTTGACGCTGGGGAGAGAGGACATAGTCTGGGAACTCTTTCCCTCCCCTTCTCCTTGTCACCTGTTTTGTTTAGAGTCCTTTACTTTAATGGTATATTGATTTTTTGTTCTGGTTTCCACCAGGGCCTGGTGAATGGGGCGTTTCCATGTACCTTGCTGTGAAACAGAAAGAGGGGACTGTTCCTGAACCCGCGGATCTCTATGATTTACAGCCTGAAAGAAAAGAGTTGTTTTAATGTGCACTTCTCTCATTTTAAGGGACTTGGAGCATTTTGTCCTAAGGCTATTGATAATTTGGATTTCTTCCTTTGAAAACATGCCTGTCCTTTGACCTATTAGAGAATGGCTCTTATTCTTAGAAATTGCAATCAGTTCCTTCTTTATCTTCCATATGCAACAGTCCTTATAGATCTTTACTGCAAGGATGATTTTCCTCACATAACTGTTACCTTTCTCATTTTAACTGCATTGGATCTGTTTGTGTAAAAGCATTTCAATTTTGTAGAAGCAGAATCATCTATTTTATTTTCGGTGATTCTCTCTATTCTTTGTTCTTTCATAACCTTTTGCCCTATCCATCAGTGTGAAAAGTAATTTCCTCCTCATTCCTCTAATTTGCTACTGATTACCTTTCTATCCCTGATTCCTGTATTCATCTGTAGTTTCATTTGATAGCTGGTGAGAGGTGTTGATGACCTATCAAATTTCTGACAAACTAGTTTTACTTTATGCCATCTTTTTTTTTAACTATATAGTGTGTCTTTCTCCCCCCCCCCAACTACTGTCTATGGATTTATTAAACACTATTTTATTTGTTGGCTTCTGTACATTGCATACCTGATCTTTTCCACTGATCAGCTTTACAATTTTTAAAAAGTTGAAATTGTGTTCTCGGCAGCTAGGTATTCTGCTGGGCCTGGAGTCAAGAGGAATTATCTCTTGAGTTGAAATATGGTCTCAGACACTTATTAGCTGTATGACCCTGAACAAGTCACTACACCCTGTTTCCCTCAGTGTCTCATCTGTCAAATGAGCCACAGAAGAAAATGGGAAACCACTTCAGTGTCTTTGCCAAGAAAACCCCAAATGAGGTTAGGAAAAGTCAGGACCAAACAACAACAATAGTTGTTTTCATAATAACAGATTTGTAATATCGTTTGGATCTGCTACAGAATCACTAACCCAAACCCCTCTCTTTCCTCCTTCCACTCCCCCATTATTTCCCTTAAGATATTTGATCTCTTTATATATATATGTATATATATATGTATATATGTATATACATATATATATAAATACATATATATATATATATTTTTTTTAATGTTTTCTGTTTCTTACATCACCAGGGTGTCCCATGTTTCCCCCGCCTCCCTATCTTCAAGAGCCATGCCATGTAAAAAATCCTATTTCTTGTTATAGGAATGAAAAGAAAAGTGAGCACAACTGATCAACGCATTTGGGAAAACATGTGCAATGTGTAACACCTGTGGACCTCTCACCTCCTGGATGGGGTAGGGTGATGGTGTCTTCTCATGTTTCCTTTTCAGTCCCACCTCATCATTAATATTTTGTTAGAGGTACTTTAAAATTTTGCTGTGTCATTCTTTCCACTTCACTTGTTGTAGTTACCAAGTACATGTACTGCTGGGTTGTTTGGTTTTTGTGGGGTTTTTTTGACTCTGCTTAACTCACTTTGCATCATTTCAGAAAGGTTTTTCCATACTTCACTGTACTCATCACACACATCATTTCTTCTTGCATGGGAACGGTATTCCATGCCTTTCATGTTCTTGTCTTGTTCCCTGTCTTGTTTAGCCATTGCCCCCTTGATGAGCATCTACTTTCTTTCCAAATCATAGCTGTCAAAAAAAGTGTTCTTATAAGTATTTTGGAATTATATGGGGACATTTTTCTTATTAATAGCTTCGTTAGAGTGTAGTGGAGTCTTTGTTTTACAGGCTTTGGACATTGTTCTTTGTAGAATTCCAAATTACTTTGGAAAATGGATATGTCATTTCCCAGCTCTTCCAACATTAGTTTGTGTATATCCCTACACCTTTGTTTAGGTATCACAAACATATTTGTGCCATAAAAGGAATTTGACAATATTCCTTCTTTACCTGTTGTTTCAAGTACTTTGTATAGTATTGGGATGAAATGTTTTCTTTAAAATATTTACTAGAATTCACTTTCACACTTGATCTGGTCCTGGGAATTTTTTCCTAGGAAACTCATGTATGCCTTCTTCAATTTTTTCCTTTAAGACAGAGTTGTTTATGTATGCTTTTTCCTCTTCTGTGAATATGGGCAGTTTATGTTTTGATAATTATTCATCCGTTTCTCATAGATTGCCAGTTTTGCTGACATATGATTGAACAGAATAACTCCTTAGCACTGCTTTAATTTCATCTTCATTCCTTATGCATTTACTCTTCTGTTTCTGAGACTGGTAATTTGGTTTTGTTCTTTCTTTTTATTAATCAGGTTACCCAATGGTTTATCAGGGTTTTTTGTTTTTGTTTTTCTTTCTTTTTGTTTTTGCTTTTTGGTGAGGCAACTGGGGTTAAGTGACTTGCCCAGGGTCACACAGCTACTAAGTTTGAGGTGTCTGATGCTGGATTTGAACTCAGGCCCTTCTGACTCAAAGGCCAGAGCTCTATCCACTGTGCCACCTAGCTGCCCCTGATTTATGTGATTTATTAGTATTTTGATAAAAGCAGCACCTGCTTTTATTTTTTAATTAGATTTTTAAAAGAAAAACTTCTTAATCTCACCTTTGATTTAGGGATTTCCATTTTGATATATAATTGGAGAGTTTTCATTTGTTCTTTTCTACCTTTATACATTTCATGCCCAGTTCCTTCACCTGTCCTTTCTCTGTTTGATGGGTCTGAGCATTTAGAGATAGAAATTTCCCACAAAATTGGGTCTCTTGCCTCATTGTTGTAATTCTTTTTCATGAAATTATTGATTGCTGAATAATTTTTGTTCTTTCACCCACTCATTCTTTGACATTGGATATTTTACTTTTCAATTAATTTTAATCTATGCTTCCCTTTCTCTCTAACTTGTATTGCATTGTGGTCTGTAAAAAGTGCATTTAGTATTTCTCTTTTTTCTCTATTTGGTTATGAGATTTTTGTGCCCTAATATATATTCATTTTCTGTGAGGGTGCTATTTACAGCTGAGAAAAAGCTACATTTCTTTCAATTTCCATTCAGTTTTCTCCAGAGTTCTATCATGTCTAACTTTTCTAATATTCTCTTCCTGTCTTTAGCTTCTTTTGTATTATTTTATGCATAGATTTGCTTAATTCTGAGAGGGGAAAGTTGAGCGCTTAGTATACTTTTACCATCTCTTTCCTTCTGTAAGTCATTTAACTTTTCCTTCAAGAAGTAGGTCTAAGCAAGAGTAATGATTAGTGATTATATCTCTTATCTGTAATTTTCATCACTTATTACTGTATTATTTTAATTATCATATCTAAATCATGTATTCCCTTATAGTTTAATTTGATACTTGGCATGAGTTGTTGATCTCCCATCAGATTTCTACCAAATGACTTTCCATGTACAACATCGGTTTTTATTTTTTTTCATGAACTACACTCAATTCTTCATTTCTGTAAGTGGACCATTAGACAAGCGTGTAAGTAGAAGGGTTTTGAAGTAATCTCAAATTGACCACAGACGTGATTACAAGGCAGGCAGGGAGGCAAGAAGGGAGTGGGCCAGGAAACAGTTCAAGGACATATGGTGGCCAGGGACAGAGAAGCAAGAGCAAGAAGAGGATCAGGCTGGCATTGGGGCCAGCCATATGATGTCTTGGCCAGAACTGAGAGGAAGAACAAGTGGAGAACAGACATGTGGAGGCTGGACTTGGCCACACACAGAAAAGAAGAGGTGACACATGGAGTGAAGAAAGACACACAGCACCCAGAGCAGGGTGGGCAGAAGACTGACACGTGGATGCCAGACATGTGGATTACTGGAGCATCCAAATTTCTCCTCTCTCAATGCTGGAGGTCTCAAGCCAAGCCCTGATCCTGAGGCTGCAGAGGTGAAAGGAATCACTCTGCACGTCCAAAACCCCTTTCTTTCCCCGGCCCACTTCTCCATGGATACCCTTTAGACACCTGACCTCTTTAAAAAAAATTTCTATTGATGCTTTCTCCATCTTACATGATAGTATCCCATGTATCCCTCCCTCTCCCTCTCCTCCTCCCTGACAGCCATGCCATGTGACAACTGGTATTTTTTGTTTTAGGGAGCAAAAGCAGTCAACACAACTAAAATACTATACAGAGGAAAAGATACTTGTGGCAGGAGACAGTCTTTCTGAGAACATTCCAGTTACTACAGCCTTGCTCTCTGTGGAAGCACATCTAGCATCAGAATACTCAGTGGATGAAATGCTTATAGGTGGAGACACCCACGCTCTGAGAAGACTCAGAGGAAAAGATACTTGTGGCAGGAGACAGTCTTTCGGGGAACATTCCAGTTACTACAGGCTTACTCTCTGTGGAAGCACATCTCGCATCAGAATACTCAGTGGATGAAATGCTTATAGGTGGAGACACCCACGCTCTGAGAAGACTCAGAGGAAAAGATACTTGTGGCAGGAGACAGTCTTTCGGGGAACATTCCAGTTACTACAGGCTTACTTTCTGTGGAAGCACATCTAACATCAGAATACTCAGTGGATGAAATGCTGATAGGTGGAGACACCCACGCTCTGAGAAGACTCAGAGGAAAAGATACTTGTGGCAGAAAACTCTTTGGGAACATTCCAGTGTGAGAAAGAAGCTGGGTAGCCTCTCTGGGCAAAGAAACCTATCTTTAGGAGAAACTTAGGTGGGGACTATGGTCCGCCCAGTGCGGTCTGAGACCCCACCTTTGTTTCTCTTAATAAAGGTTGGTTTCTTTGCCCAGAGAGGCTGTGCAGTCTCTTTCTTACACTGGGTACTACAGGCTTGCTCTCTGGGGAAGCACATCTAGCATCAGAACACTCAGCAGACGAGACATTTGGGGCTGAAGACACTCTCTGAGAACATTCTAGTTACTATAGGTTTGCTTTCTGGGGACACACATCTACCATCAAAATACTCAGAGGAAAAGACCAGAGCTGAAGAGAAAATATGACTTTGAAATACAAGACTCTAAAGAAGCCTTAAAAGGTAAATATGAAAAAGAAATCATAAGCAACTCACTGAGGTTAAATTGTGTACTTTTGTATAAGGAAAGAGGATACACATATCTTCTAAGAATGGTATCATTATTAGAGCAGATAGAGGGATTCTACATAGAAAGAAGGTTTGGGAGTGAGCCCCTTAGGCTCAGATGATGGAAAATAAATGGATAGGCAAGAAATATGGATGCCCTGGGAGAAGGCAGAAAGGAGAGACAGAATGGGGGAAATAATCCTACATAAAATAGGTGTGCAAGAAAGAGCTTTTACCCTGGAGTGGAAAATGATTGGGAGGGGGTGGCTAATGCTTGAACGTCAGTCACATCTAAATTGGTTTAATAGGGGAAAATATCTATATCTATATTTATGTCTGTCCCTATATATACTTCCTCAACTGGTGATAAATATCTATGTTACCCTACAAGTAAATAAAGAGCATGGGAAAGGGAAAAGAAAAAGAAAAAGTGGTGATAAAAGGGTGGGGTGATAAATAAATAGAGCTGTCATATGCAAAAGGGATATTAGAGGACAGACAGGATAAAAAGAGAGAGAGAAGGAGAAACAGAAGATAGGATGGAGGGAAATGCATAGTTAGTAATCCTAACTGCATGAATTGGATGAACTCACTCATAAAATGGAATGGGGTAGCAAAATGGATTAGAAACCAACATCCAAAAATATGTTTGTTTGTTTGTTTTGCAAGAAACACACTTGAAACAGAGAACTACAGAGTGAATAAGGGGGGTTGGAGCAGAAACTGTTATGCTTCAGCTGAAGTAATAAATGGAGGGATAGCAGTCATGATCTCAGACAAAGCGAAAGCAAAAATAGCTCTATTAAAGGGGCAAGCAGGGAAACTACCTCTTGTTCCAAGGAACGACAGGCAATGAAGTCATATCAAAAGTAAACATGTATTTGGGAAATGGCATAAGATTCAAATTCCTAATGGAAAAATTAAATGAATTACACTAAGAAATAGACAGGAAAACTGTAGTAGTGAGGCACCTCAACTTTTTCATCTGAGAGCTAGATAAACCCAATCATAAAATGAATAAGAAAGAAGTTAAGAAGAGTAATGGAGTTTTAGAAAACTTATATATGAAAGAACTCTGGAGAAAACTGAATGGGAATAGAGAGGAGTAAAGAGAGATGGTGCTTTATGTAAATTCACATTATGCTAATTGGACTTTATGGAAGGAATTCTATAAGAAATCTGCATTCCAAGAAAATACCTATGTCAGCTTTACCATACTGTACTGGGATCTCTTGCTGCTCCTGCCCCTCAAGGTGGCACTCTGTGTCCTCCTCACCCCCCTCCCAAAAGGAAAAGCTCAAAAAAGTCCTCCAAGTGAAAGAAGAACAACAGACATGCAGAGAGATGGCCACCACCACTGCTAGATTGGGACTTGGCTTGAGACCTCCAGTGCTGAGAGAGCAGACCTTCATTGTAGTCTGCCCACCCTCTTAAGAGTTTGGTGCCTGTGTTTTGCTATTTAGTTCATCCGTGTTCAGTTACTGTGTGTCTGTCCCTGGTCCCCACCACATGTGGCCTGTCTTCTCCTGAATGTTTCCATGTGCAGCCCTCCTGTATCTGCCTGCCGGGGTATTCCTCCTTTCAGGTCCAGCCAGGCTCTCACGTGGCTGGCCCCGTTAGCCATGCGTTCCACCTCTTGCTCTTGCTTCTCTGTGTCCAGCCCCCACGTGTCCTTGAACCATGTCCTGGCCCGTCCTCCATGGGGATGCAGTCCCCTTCCTAACTCCCTTCTGCTCTTTTCCACATCCATGGGGTAAATTCATATTACATAAAGGGTCTGTGAATGGTCTGCTTATGTTGTTGTTTTTCTTATTATTTAGCATTTATTTAGTATTTTACTTTTCCCCAATTACATGTAAAAGCAATTTTTAACATTCATTTTAAAAATATTGAGTTCCAAATCCTCTCCCTTCCTCCCTCTCACCCCCCCACCCATTGAGCAGGCAAGCTATTGGATATAGCTTATAAATGTTTAGTCATGCAAATCGTATTTCTTTATTAGTTGTGTTGGAAAAGAAAACACAGACCAAAAAAAAAACCCTTGAGAAAAATAAAGTTAAAAAGTTTGCTTTCATCTGTATTCAGACATCATCACTTCTTTCTCTGGGAATGGCTAGCGTTTTTCATCACAAGCCCTTCAGAGTTTTGTTGAATCTTTATATTGCTGAAAATAGCTAAGTTATTTGCAGCTGATCATCTTATAATACTGCTGTTACCATGTACCAGGTTTTCCTGGTTCTACTCACTTCACATTCTGTTAGTTCATGTAACTCTTCCTAGGATTTTCTGAGACCATCGTGATTATCATTTCTTATAGAGTTATAGCATTCCATCACAATTATATACCACAACTTATTCAACCATTCCTCAGTTGATGCATATCCCATTAATTTCCAATTCTTTCCCACAAGAAGAAAGCTGCCATCAATAGTTTTGTACGTATAGGTCTGTTTCCTTTTTTTTTTTTAATTTCTTTTAGGATACAGACCTAGTAATGGTATTGTGAGGTCAAAGGTGTGCATAGTTACAAATTGCTCTACAGAATGGGTGATTCCATTCACAACTCAACAAGTAGCGCATTAATGTCTCATTTTTCCCACATCCCCTCCAGCAATGTGTCATTTTCCTTTTAGATGCTATTAGCCAATACTTCAGAATTGTTTAATTTGCATTTCTGCAATCCATAATGATTTATAACATTTTTTCATATGACTATAGGTAGATTTGATTACTTCATCTGAAAAGTCACTGGTCATATCTTTTGATCATTTATCTGGTGGGGAATGGCTCTTATTTCTATAAATTTGAGTCATTCCCTCTATGTTTGAGAAATGAGGCCTTTATCAGAAGAGTTTGGCTTCAAGAATTTTTCTTTTACCACTTGTGATAGCTGACTGTATTTCTCTCCATCCTGTTTCCCCTCTTGCTTGTTCTATTCTCTCTTTCCTTTCACCATGTTCCTCCTAAAAATGTGTTTTGTTTCTAACCACCACCTTGCACCATCTGTCCTCCCTTCTATCACCACCCCCCTCCTCTGCCTTTCCCATCCTACACTTCTGCAGGGTAAGATGAATTTCTGGACCCATTGTGTGTGTGTGTGTGTGTGTGTGTGTGTTGTTCACTCTTTGAGGCAATTCTAATGAGAGTAAGGTAAAAGTGTTCCCTGCCACCTCCTCTCTCTTCCCCTGCACTGTAAAATCCTCTTTCTTGCCTATTCATGTCAGATAATTTACCCCGTTCTACCTCTTCCTTATCCTTTCTCTCAGTGCATGATGCTTGGCAGAGAGCAGACACTATAAATGTTAACTATTATTTTTAGTTCATTAATTAGATGTGGCCAATATACAATGCCAATGGTGATGAGATGCCCGATTTTCTATATAAGAGAATTTGGAAATACATTCAACAGGATTGAAGTCACCTGATTGGTAGCAGGTTTGTTTCAAGTTTCAAATACATAATAATGTTTCAGATTGGTAAACTTTTGCATCAGGTATGTCAAGCAACTTTTCATAATTTGGATATTATGAAAGTAACAACTGAAACAAAGTAAAAGGGGAAAAATTGTTTAAAACCACTTATGTTATTTTTTTCAGCCCTGCTAACCCTGTCTTATAATGTTTTCTAACTGCCATTTGGAGAACTGGATATTTCCACTTTTGCCTGTAGTTCTAAAACAATTTGGCTATCACTTATAAAGGTTGTAGATTGTTAACTAAATTACTTGGGGTCATTGTTTTAATGTTAAAACCTAAAACTGGTCATTGATTACTGTGTGTAGAAAGGAGGGGATGAGGTAAAAGCCTTATCTGGATTGGTTCTGCCCATTCACAGCAGTCCTGCTTGGGGGATGAGGGTATACAGCAGAGTTAGTCTATTCTTCCTTGGCAGCTGGGGGTGGTGATGGTGTCAAAGAGCACAGCCCACAGCAGCTCTAAGGGTAGATGGGGTGGAAACCCCTGGCTCCCCTCCTTTAGTAAGACGGCCAAGATTGCCTCCGATGTAGGGCTATAGAGTGTGATCAGAAGCCCCATGTGCCAGTTACCATATGCTGGAGTCCACAAAACTAAACAAACCATGTCGACTCTGGTAGATACTGGTGCAGAATGCACGATGCTCTGTGGGAGCCCTGAAAGACATCCTGTCAAGTGGGTAGCCAAAGAAGAATACAGGAGATATTCAGTCAGTGCAAAGCAAACTGAATTAATACAGAAAATAGTGGACTTGCTGGAGTATGTTGAAGTCTGGAGGAAGAATATATCAAGGGGTGGGCAGGCAGGGGCATCAGGATCAGCCCCTTCACTGAGGTCCCTGACAATTCCCCTTATTTTGTAAACTTGCCAGGTTCCTGGAAATCGTCTGTGTGAGCAAGGTTATCAGCCCTGGGAAGAGAGCTTCTTTGGGCTATGGAGTTCCTAAACAATAAACTTGGCTTGCTGAGGAATTGCAAGTTTGTATGTAATATGGAAATGATTTCCAAACATTGGTTTTTACACCAGGACAAGTTTAAATTTGAGACAAAAAGAAAACAAGTGAAAGAAGTTAAGTGAAATCTCTTATGGATGTGAGTTCCTGGTAAATTTTTCTTTCTTATTGCAACTCCATGAGAGTAAAAATAATGGTATCTAGCCTTAAGCTGTGATTAGTGAAACTTGCCACTTGAGGTCAAAGCTCTTGGGACCATAACTGATTTTATTTTGAGGTTTGAATTTAGGTATAGTTGTCTGATGGATCGTTCAGTCAGTAATCTACCATTTGAGAGAAATACCACAAGCTACTCAGAGGGAATGTGATCTTGAACAGGTAGAGATCTGTGTCTGGGAAAAAGTCAAGAGGACAACCTTGGCAGCAACCTAAGGTGGGATCCTCCTGGCTCAGCTTCCTCATTGTGTTCCTTTGAACAGGAATGCTTCCCACCTGACTCTTCCTACATGTGGTGGTGAGGTAGAATTATTACTACATGGTTGGTTGTTAAACTGTGACTCTTGCCTGAAATCAAAGCTAAGGGAGCTTTATCTTGTCATATATGTGTCCTTAGGCTTAAGCCTCAAGGACGAGTTTGTTGCTGTTATAGTCATGTCCTGGCTTTTTTCATTTTATATCAAATTCCTATAGTCAGAGCCAGTGGTCAGTAAAAGATATGAGCACAATGCAAGTATGTGAGATCTTAGTGTTTTCAATCTGAATGTGTAGTCATTCCATATTCCAAACAACAAGGTATATTAGTACTTGGGCTTGTCATCTGCCTGTCTGCATAGCCATGTGAAAGATGAAGTCCCTGAAATAGCTTATCACGTCTAAATAATATAGGAATAATAAGGCACAGACAAAAGTCTGTGAAAGAAAGATGTGAATTTATTAACTTGTTGGGTGAAAATCAGAAACATCTTCATTTGGTTTGGGGAAGAGAATTTCAGTGCAATCAGTTTCCTTAAAGGGATGGATGTAACTCCTTTTTTGTGTTACATTAATGGAAAAGTCAGTTTCATTCAAGTTATTACTAATGAGCTACAAGCACATTTTATTATAAACCATTTATTGATATGCACTATTTTGGAATTCATTATTTAAGTATCCTCTCAAGTCTTTACTTTTAATCAAAGTCAGCTTCTTATAAGTAAATTCATTTATGTCACTATTGAACTCAGGGGCAGAAAGCCTGCAAGAATGTTGTTACTTATTTTTTCACGTGTAGGATTGGGTCCTCAGTAGCATCTGGTCCTCCTAAATGGATTGGAATCAGAGTGGAAACTTTTGAGAAAGTAACAAGATCAGACAATCCTCTATGTCAAATGTAAATGATTCTAATGGGGCATGTAAAAACCTAAATTTTCTGAAGCTTCAAGGAAACTCTGGGTTCCTACTTTGATGCTCCCTTGTTAAGAGCAGAGCTTAAGGTTTCAACTGGTTTTTACAATATGAATTAGTTATTGTAGAAGCAAAATTTGAGAGGCTATACTAACTTGTGTTGAAATCTGTTCTGTAAAAGATTTTAGCATGAACATCTAAGGAGTCTCTACAAGTCACTTGGAACTAGAAAAACAATTCCACTGAAGAGTTGCCCCTGAGGACAAGATATTTTCCAGATTGCCCCAAGAAAAGATGTTCCAGATTCCATACAACTACATGGGACATCTGGATTCCGAGATGAAATTTGTTAATTAAATGGACTTTAGGGGTGGGTTGGTGATCATCATTGTACAGGCCTCCCCTAGAGAAAAAGGGAGAAACTCAGAAAATCAAATTGTTCTGATCCCATTCTGTAATTGATTCAATTCTCTGTCAATCCTGATATGTTGTAAAACTGCCCAAGCCATGTTTATTTGTCTCTGAATCTAGTTCAGAAACTCAGCTCTCCCATTAATCCCCAAATGGCATTGGTTCTTCCTTCACCTCCTCAGGGGTGGGATGGAATAAAATTGTAACAGTTGTGGTAATTTTCTCATTGGTCATGTTGTTTTCCTGTCTGTGCTTATATTGTTCCTGTGGTTTATGCTTACAAATGGGACCATCCCAACTGTACTCAAAAAGGCCCTGAACACCCTAGTATAGAACTACCTAAGGGACTTTGTGCAATACGTTCAGAAAGAGTGTAGGGGAGGCTTTTCAGGGGTGGATTGTGGGGTCCCGGTTGGGGAAAAGCCATAAACACTTGAACTCTGTGAAAGGAGAAAGCCCCAACGTGGTGACCTGTTAAAAAATCATAACTTAGAGTCATAACTTAAAATACTATGACCGAGGAAAGCCATAGTGAGAATATCATGACCCATATGTGAGTGGTACATAATCAATACAAAAACTTGTATTTGGGCATAACATTGGCTTAACACCGAAGCCCACTACTATGCAGAAAACCAAAAATATCCACCAATGAGAAGTGATGCTCTCTCTAACTCACTCTTCCTTTATTTTCTATAATTACCAGGGGGATTTGGGGGGTCTTTTGTGGAGATCTGCTGAAATGTCTGCCTGCCATCCCAAACTAATGATTGGCCCTGTTTTGTTAGTACTGCTAATGGCTGATTAAACTACTACCTATAATCAGTCTGGAGCTTCTTGGCCTATTCCTTTGGTATCAAAAAGAACACCCCACAGTTATGGAGGAGGTAGAGGGCTCCCCAGGTAAGTGAATTCCTGACCTTACAATTAAAAATGTGCAACCCATGTAAAACATTTCCATACATGTGAGGTCTCAGTTTGATTGAGGCAATGCCCAGTCTACTTCTAGGTAAGAAGTAGAGCAGAGAATGGTCTCTATTACTCAGTCAAAAACAATCGGTCTGGGAGGGGAAGACCCTCAGGGTTTCTGGCCCAAACGGAAACCGTTGCTATTTACATTCATTCTGAGCCAATCAGGATCCAAGCAATGACCAAATGGGGTTTGGCCTGGGACCTATTGTTGGCCAATTAATGACAAGGTCTCCCTCCTGCTGCATCCAGGGTCATCTCCCATCCCCCTGGTATATATCTTGTGCTAGAGCCTGTGGCTGTGGAGGAGAAAGTGAGGCTGGTGAGTAAACAGCCATCCCTCACTTAAATCCAATTCACTTGCATGTCATGGCATGACCTCCCTGATATCATGGTCTTACAGAAAGAAGGACAGGTAACAACAAGAAACAATTTACATATTACTCGTTTTGTGGAAGGATATTCAAACCCCAACCCACCCAAAAAAAAAAATGAAACATGGTATGCTTTAGTCTGTGTTCACATGGCATCAGTCCAGTCTCTAGAGGCAATTAGCATTTTTCAGCATGAGTCCTTTGGAATAGTCTTGGAACACTGCATTCCTGAGAATAGCTAAATCATTCACAGCTGTTCATCATAGGATATTGCTGTTTCTGTATACAAAGTCCTCCTTGTTCTGCTCAATATCCATTGCATTATGAGTTCATTTCAGTCTTTTCAGGCTTTTCTGAAAACACACTGCTTGTCATTTCTTACAACACAATAATATTCCATTACAATCACATACCACAATTTATTCAACCACTCTGCAATTGATGGGTATAAATTTCTACTTTTTAGCCACCTCAAAAAGAGTTGCTATAAATATTTTTGTACATATAGGTCCTTTTCCTTCTTGATTGATTGCTTTCGGGTACTGACCTAATAGTGGTGTTGCTGGATTAAAGGGTATGGATAGTTTTATGGCCTTTTGGTCATACTTTCAAGTTTCTCTCCAGAACAATTGGATGAGTTCACAACTCCATCAATAGTGCATTGGTGTCCCAGTTTTTCCACATCTCCTCCAACACTTATCATTTTCATTTTCTGTCTTATTAGCCAACCTGACTGGTATGAGGTAGTGCCTCAGAGTTGTTTTAATTTGCGTATTTACAACATTTTTCTTATAACTAAAGATAGCCTTGATTTCTTCTTCTGAAAACTACTTGTTTATATTTTTGATTATTTATCAATGGGTAAATGATTTGTATTCTTATCATTTTGACTCAGTTCTCTTTATATTTGAGAAATAAGGCTTTTCAGAGATAATCTTCATCATCTCATGGGAGGGACACCTTCTACTGCTGGTGGTGGTCCTAGCAGCTTTGCCTTCCTAGGGAACAGATTGGGTTCAGACCCACTTAGAATACACAGCCAGTCAGCAGCATTATTCAGCAGCTTAGAATAGGGAAATGATGCTTGTCACAGGAGATAGAGAAAGAAAGACAGCAGGAATCATTCAAGGGAGAAAAGGGATGGATTTGGAATGCAGCTGGCAAGACCTACCATAGGACAAGTCCCCCTCTTCAAGGGCAAGAAACAACAGGAAGTGTATCAATACTTTTATACTTGGGAAGGAAGTCTAGACAAAACTGCAGGGTCTCTTCTCCAAGGACAACCAACAGCTGTTACAGCAATGGATGAAACCATTGGCTTTACTGTGTCCTTGCATAGGATGATTTTTTTCTATTTCTCTTTCTATAAGGGTTTGGGAATCTTCTAATATTAGGGCACCAGGTGTTTGAGGGATGGGTCCATTTCCATACTCAAAAGAATTGCATTTCCTACATTCCCCAGTAGAGGACTTCTAGCTACTCTGTGAGTAATTGTGCTGACAACATGGCAAATATAAGATAGGCCTTATTTTTACCTGATGGAAAATGCATAAAGGACTAAGGATGATGCACCGTACCTGGCACAAACCCGGCTCTTAATAAATGCTTGTTTGATGGGCTGAGCACATAAAGAGTTAAAACAACTCTTCTTTCTTCTTCAGTGGTTTCTACCTCCCCAAGAACTAACCTAGCCTGGAGGTCTCCCAACTACCAAAGAGAAATCCTTTGGAGGTCAAGAATATAGTCCTCTCCCTGGTGGGTGTAGGGTGCAAAGGTAGTCTACCCAATCCTGGAGTGAGGCCCTGCTCCCAGTGGTTTTTAGCAATAACTGGATACAAAAGGAAACAGGAATTTTCCCTTGCCAGGTAACACAAATGAACTCATGTAAGCTCAGCAGAGTTTAACCCCCTTCCATTCTATTAGTGACTGATGCTATCTGGTTTGGCTCAATCACTGCAAGTTATTGATGGGGTGAATCATTTAATCAGTATAAATGTGAAAGCAAAAACAGGCATTGAAAATCCTGTGCCAAAAAGCCCAACCCCTGGGCCCCGGGGATGTCTGCCCCTGGCTTGTTCAAAGAGCAGGGAAGAGGACAGGAGTCTCACACCTTTTCCAGTGGAAGTTCAGATCAAGTTAGCCATCCCCCCTTCAGTTGAATATAATCTCTCTAGAGACAAAATTTAGTGTGCAGCAAGGCAGGAGCAGCTAGTTCCATTCACTGGTTACCATGGTGATTAGCGTTGCCAAGGATATCTGGAATCCTGAGTTGCTGGCACCCAGGCTACCTCTTTATCAGGCCTCCATTATGATCGCTAGACCAGGAGGAGGGGAGGGCTTCTTCCCAGCTTTGTCCTGTACTGCCAGGTGGGAGTGAATCTAAATCACCAGAGGCTCCAAAATATCAGGAGGTACCCACAAATACACACATATGTACACACAGGCACTGTGTGTGCATCAAAACCAAGACAGACATAGAGAGACAGAGACAGAGACAGGCAGAGCCAGAGAAAGAGAAATATTCATGCCAATTGCAGAATAATGTGTATAAGAAAAGAGAAAGCAAGAAATTATTGCTATGAGACACGCATCAGAGAAGGGAGCAAACATCGTCCCCGGCACTCTGATCACCTCCCTGATCTCCTCCTAGCCAGGTGAGAAAAAACTGAGGCCAAACCAGGTTAATTTGTTGCCCAGGGTCACACAGGCACAGGGTCACATCAGAGGCAGCATTGGAACCCAGGTCCTCTGATGCCATAGAGGCCAAAGTTCTTTCCAGAATACAATTCTGCCTCCCACAGCAGCTTTTGCCACCAAACCATGGTTTCCCCGGGGGACATCAGAATTTGGCTTTTAATTCTCCACAAAGGAAGAGTAAAGGACCTTCAGCTTGTGTATAAGCAATCAGGCTAATAATAGAACAAGTATAAGACAGCCTTTATTTTTACCTGGTGAAAAATGCAAAGTACGAAGGATTCCTACTTGATCACAGTGTCTACCACATATACATCAGGCACTTAGTAAATGCTTTTTTGATTGGCTGGGCCCATAAAAGTCAAGACAACTCTTCTTCCCTCTCCAATGATCTTGTCTATCTCTCCAGGGTCTATCCTTAGGATAAGGTCTCCCAACCACCAAGGAGAAAGCCCTTGGGATCAGCAGAATCCACCCCTCTCCCTCTGTGGGGGTCCACCTTTCAACTTACTGCTCTCTTTAGGTATGTATGTTGGCATGATGATGCTTGGGAGTGGCTCATTGATGTGACTCAAGCCCCAGAAGTGGATTTAGATAACTTCTACCTGGAAGCTTGGGCCACCATTTGTTGAATGCTGTGTTTGCACTCTGAAGTTTTTGTAGAGCTCTAGGCTTTTCATCAAGAATATTTGGAAGTCCTCCATTTGAATAAAAGACCATGTTTTCCCCTGTGAGTTTATACTATTTGGCTGAGTAAGTTATTTTGTTTGTAAGGTTATATCTTTGTGTCTGGAATATCATACTTCAAGCTCTCAGCTCCTTAGGGGAATGGCTGAAAATCTTGTGTGTTTCTGATGTGGCTCTTTGGCACTTGAATTCTTTCTTTTTCATGCTGCTGGAAATATTTTTTCTTTGACCTGTAAACTCAGGATTTTGGCTGTAATGTTGCTGGGAGTTTTTGCTCTTGTGGGATCCTTTCTGGGAGTGACCTACAGGTTCTTTTCACTTCCTCTTTGATATCTGGTTCTAAGAGGTCTAGAATGGTTTTTTTTTCCTTTTGATTTCTCAAAATATTATATCTAGGCTCTTTTGTATGGCTTAGCTGTCAGGTTGTCCAATAATTCTTAAATTTTCAATCATTAATCTTTTATACCTCTCACTTGTTTTTTCTATGATGAAGTTTTA